GATTCCAGATGACACATTCCCAGATCCCTGGCATTAGGCTACCCTGTGAGTTCCTGGAGTTGAATATTAGGTTCTCTCCTGACTCTGGGACTTGAGGTGAAGACGGTATGATTCTCATCCTATCCTCACGAGGATGTTGGTACCCAGCAAGTGAAGTTTTGGATGTAGTTGACTTACCGAGTACGGTCCATCACACCCTAGCCACTCTACACCATGGGACACATCCTCACTTGCCCACTTTCCATCATGGGATTGAGTGATTCTGATTTCTGTTTAACATCACATTGCTGAACTATCCTCTCCCATGTGGATGTGCTCTCTTTAATGTTCCACCATATCTGGTTTTCCTGATCATGTCAATGTTCCTGGTGAAGAGATACCTGGCTCAGATGTGGTGGGGTACTCTTCCTTAGAACATCTTATCTGTTCCTCTCATTTTGGGGGGTGTCCTCTCAATGCTTCCAGGGGATATGCCTTTGCTTCCCTTGCACCAGTCCCTCCTCCATTTCAATATGGGATTCAAGCTAATCTTCTGAGCAGAGGGAGAGTACTTTATCAGAAGTTATAATTTTCCAAATTGAAAATGTATTTTCGATAGGTACTTCCCTCCACTCACACTTCCCACCTGTCCTCCCCACAATCTTCCGGTGCTCACATTATCTGCCAAACTTTGAACTGATAGTTTGGCGTGTAGAGGGAGTCACATGCATAGTAGTGGAGAGGTGATGCATTATGATTTGCACAAGAGACGTGTTGGAACTTTGTATTCCAACAGAGGGAAGATGAATACTTGTGGCATGCATTTCTGAAAAAAATTCACATATAGAGGGCAGCACAAAATGAGAAAAGCTAATCTTGTGAGAAGAGGGAATTACCTATTAGAAATACATTTTCATTTAGGAAAATTATAACTTTGGCCAAAGACCTGATATTGAGCCATTTCATTTAAAACTATAAAGAAATTTCTAAGCTACTTTACTTTAGAAGAAAAGTTATAATTGGAAGAACAAAACACAAAAGAATTTGGGTAATTTAATTTATAAAAGACATCTTTATACTGCAATAACAGTAAATCCAGTATATTCAATGTTGTTCCCATCTTTTACATAGAGAGTTACCATTAACATTAACAAAAATTTGTTTTCTATTCAATAGGAACTAATATGTAAATGAGTCAGTAACTTTTGTGTAAATCATCAGATTAAAATATTGGTTATATAATTTAAATTATGCATAATAGAAATATTTTAAGGAATGGTTATAGGATTTAAAGTTTCTCCTTGAAGAATGTTCTCACTAGATATATATATATATATATATATAATATGAATCCAAATGCTTTGGAAACACAGTAAAACAAAGTTTTTGTGTTTATGGTTTTCTTTATGAATGAAGC